GGGGGGTTGGTTGGTTAACGTCTGGCAAGCAGCCGTTGTGGCCCATACATTTCATGATTTATTTAAGTCCTGAACACAGACAGCACAACTGATGGAGACAAACATGTCCTTTGAAATGTATTACTGTTACCATGGACAGGCAGTTATGTAAACAGCAGTCAAAATCTCAGGTAACGTTTCTATTTCCCCTGACAGACTAAGAGTTAACAAAACACTTTAAAATTGTAGCTACTAGCAGAAAACTGTGCTTCTGCAAACATGTGATGCAACAGCACTTTGACTTCACCATTCACTGAGATAAGGGTTTAAGATTCAAGAGCTCTAAAAAACATAATGCATAAGAATATTTAACCTACGTTCTCTGAACAAGAGTCTCCTGCTCCTTTGTGAAAGATTTCTGCCCAGTAATCAACACGACCTTCAAACCTGTCCCATCAGTGTAAATGTTGAATACTCTACTCACCTGCAGAGGGGAGAAGGGATTTGTTGTTAGCTATCTTGATAACTGCTTATGACAAAGCGTTCCATTATCTTGGCCCAACATCAAGCCCAGTGAGGGACTTCAATCTACTTTCCATCCCAGAAACCAGGAAGCATTTGTGTAATGTGTTTAATGACCATCTTTCACTTGACTCAAACTCAGCTCAGAGAAAAGAAGAAAAAGTAATTTACCTGTTGTGCCAGTTCTTTGGTGGGCAGAACTGCCAGGGCTCGCACTTGGCAAACTGCTCGTTCTAGCAGAGTCTGCCAAAACAAAGACTATATGAGAACCTGAAAGGAGCAGAGCTGGTGTCCTACCCTGTGATCCCAATAATCCCCCAGCATTCTCCTTTCATCTGTTCCTCCTCCAACCCCCCAATTCCTGAGACTACCTCCTTTGCCAGGAATAGTGGATGAAACACTGAGACTAATCACAGTGTTCAGTCTAAATCCTGTAGACAGTTTTGAAAGCCTACAACTCAGGGCTTGGGATCAAGTTTCTTCCTATGTTTCTGACCTATTTCAAGAGGCTTCTGTAGCTTTGCAGTGAAACAAGGGCAGTCATGACCCTTAGTACAGCTCTACACCTTGGCTGAACTTACCTGTACCACAGGTATGACGAAAGACAGTGTCTTCCCACTGCCCGTAGGGGCTGAGACGCAGATGTCACTTGGTTGGTATCCTCCTCGTCCTACCAAAAAGCCATTGCACGCACCCTCCAAAATGGCAGGAATTACCTCTACCTGAACTGAACAAATCAAAAAGGGAAATGAGGCTCAATTAAAAGTTATTAACTAACTGGGCCAGAACTGACTTAGAATATAGTCCTAGCTTTCATTTGGAGCCCAGCCCTGCTACAGCCTGAATTCCTGACTCATACTACTGGAGGGAAATATGATGGTGCTCAGCAACTTGTAGGACTGGGCACCTGAAGACAAGCTACAAGGAACAAAGCAGAGCAAGTGCAACCTCTCCTCCTTTCTCACACCCTGAAAAAAGGTTACATTTATTATTCCACTCTGGTCTGTCAAAAATGTCCATTAGCAAAGTATTCAAGAGCCTCTTGCTTACTAACTTTGTAGCTCGATAAGGGAAGGCTGTGCAATACAGTATCTAACCCGTTAGTTTTGTGTTGTGTCTACTGATCAATACCTTTCATCTGAACCATGGCTTGCACATACAGTAAACTGCCTGGCTTCCTACTAGTGAATATCTGAAGCTGAAGCCTGGTGTTTCTAGCCATTGGAGCATGAAAACCTACTACCAAGATAAATAAATGGGAGACTATCCCAAGAACAGCACACTAACAGCTCTTACACTCCGCTACATGTTTTAGCACAGTAAAAATATTAGATACTGAAATGGCTTAAAATAGAAAAGTTCAGAGCCAGATTGTAACTTTTGAACGGTTTTCTGTTGCATACTAAGACTAGACAACCAATTTCATTTGTGACCTGGATTTAGGTTTTTGAAAGTGAAGTTTAGAATGACTACGCTGGGTTAACATAATAGTCCTGCTTTACATTCTATTTGTACATTCTAAAATGAACTCTGACATGTACATGCTTCCAGCAAGATATTCCAATTGAGAACTCACTAGGTTTGTCCCCGACCTGATTCATAACCCCCACACAGTTGGGGTAACACTGTAGTTATATTTGATATCCAGAGATGAAACAGTAAGTTCACTCAAAAATTAATTTAATCTGTACAAAGTAAATTTTCAGCTGTGACATATCAGGAACTTATGGTTCTACTTCTTCCCATCCTACTTTGTTAATGAAAAACACCAAATCTTAACCATTATTTAACCTATGAATTTTAAGTTCTAAAGCAACACAAATGCCATAGTGGCTAAAACATCATAAATTCTTATACCTTTCAAGGATTTTTGGCATTTCTGCTTCTAGCCAAAATTACTTATTTCCTGCCTTCCCCAAGCTGTGACTTTTTCATAAGTTCATGTTGCATATGTATTTATGAGACATGAACTATATAAACAGGAGGAAAATTAACTGATCTAGAAAAATACAAGACCACTATTAATGTACCTGGGAAAAAGGACTCTACTCCATTCACTTGCAGCTTCTTCAGAAGTCTGGGATGAATTCCTGGGACGTCTTGGATTGGAACTAGGTTTTCTTTGATACGTTTATGTACTAGCTTAGGTTGAGCAAGCCATTGTGGCAAGATGGGCTGAATCTGGAACAAAAAGCAAATTGAGATGGGTGAGTCTACACGTGTGCTTTAATGAGAATTAATGCATCACAAAAAAAACTCATGGCATTTAGTTAATGCGCATTAAAATTGGCTAATGCATATTAAGTGTTGCTAAGGGCACCTACAGATGTGTAGTGAGGCTGCTCCGATGCGCTGTAATTACAGCATGTCGGAGCAGACTCAATTAATCAAGTTTGCTGGAATGTGGTAATTACTGCACTCCTGCAGTCTCCAGCATCACATGTATCAGCATCCCTGTGCTGAAAAATGGTGGCGGGGGCACTTTTCTAATTAAAGCTCTCCCCCTCCCCCAGCATGTGTATAAATGCCCTTCTAAACCATCCACTTTAGACTAATGCACATTTTCATAGTACCTCACAATGGAAGTACTAGATTTAATGCACATTAACACACATGTAGACATATCCTATTCTAAGAAAAAAGAAAGATGTTTGACAGCTTCTCTGAAGCATGAACACCTTTTGCATAGGCCTCCCTGCTTGAATTTCTCTACACTGGTC